CACATTGCTAACCTCTCACTCCTCCTCATTGAGACATCTATGCACCTCCTTTTCACATGCTCGTACCTTGTCAACCTAGCTTCCCTTATCTTTTACTCCACGGGTGCCACTCCCACCTTTTCCGAAATATCAACATTACTTATCTTATCTAATAGTATGCCTATACATCCATCTCAGCATCCTCATTTCTTCTACTTACATCTTTAGGACATGGGTGTTCTTAATAGGCCAACATTCTGCTCGTATAGCATAGTAAGTCTAACCACCGCTTTATAGAAATTACCCTTCAGTCTTTTTAGCACCATCTAATCACTCAAAACCACAGAAGTGAGCCTCTATTTCATCCATCCTGCTCCAATACGATGTTTGACATCATCACCAATCTCATCATTACCTTAGATAACAGATCCTAGGTACTTGAAACTCCCCTTCTTACGGATGACTTGTGAATCCAGCCTCACTTCCACGTCCATATAATAAGTCACTTCGTTGAACTTGCACTCCAAGTACTTTGTTTTAGTCATTCTCATCTTGAAACCTCTTAACTCCAAGGTTTGTCTCCAAACCTCCAGCCTCGCGTTAACACCACCTCGCATCTCGCCGTTTAGTACTATATAATCCGCAAATAACATGCACCATGGCACCTCCTCTTGAATGTGCTGCATCAGAACATCTATCACCAAGGCAAATAAAAACGGGCTAAGCACGGATCCCTAATGCAAGCCCATCCCGATAGGGAAGTATTCCAACTCTCCTCTCACCGTTTTAACATGGGTCTTAACGCTATCGTATATATCCTTAGATCACCCTCGAATAATCTACGAGCACACCTCTCATCTTCAAGCAACTCTCTCAGAACTTTATCATAAGTTTTCTCTAGGTCAATGAATACCATGTGCAAGTCTTTCTTTCTATCCGTATACTGCTCCACCAGTCTCCTAATAAAGTGAATGGCTTTAGTAGTCGATCGCCCAGGCATGAACCCGAGTTGATTCTTGAAAATGGATACAGTACACCTCACCCTAACTTCAAGCACCTTATCTCAAACTTGCATGGTGTGACTTAGCAGCTTGATGCCCCTGTAGCTGTTGTAATTTTGGATATCCCCCTTATTCTTATACAATGAAATCATTGTACTCCACCTCCAATCTTCAGGCATCTTCATTATCATAAAAATGACATTGAATAACCTAGTATGCCACTCAAAGCCTGCTCTGTCTGCGGTCTTCCAAAAATCTACCGGGATCTCATCTGGCCCGGTCGCTCTATCTCTGCTCATCTTATGCATATCCCCCATAACCTCTTCAACCTTGATACGCCTACAATACCGAAATTCACGGGGACTCTTGGAGAACCTCAAGTCCCCCATCATGATGTCCCTATTCCCCTCATCATTCAAGAGTTCATGAAAGTACGTTTGCCATCTACGTCTAATAAGTGTGTTATCCACCAATATATCCTTGTCTTTGATGCACTTCACTTGGTCTAGGTCACGATCCTCCTTTTCCTCTCCTTGTCCAGCACGTGTAGCTTCTTGTCCCCGCCTTTGGCCCCAAGTTCTTCATACAACCATCCAAATGTTGCATTCTTAGCCTCCGTAACGGCTAACTTTGCCTCCTTCGTAGCTTTCATATACCATTCCCTATTCATACTCCTCTCATCCTCGTCTCTGCTTTCTACTCGCTTCAAATATACTGCTTTCTTGGCTTTCACTTTTTTCTGGACTTGTCCATTCCACCACCAGTATCCTTTATGTCCATTAGGGTGACCCTTCAAGACCCCTAGCACCTCTCTAGCAGCTTCAAAATGCAATTCGCTATCGAGGTCCACATATTACTCATGTCCCCACTAATCCTCTAGGTCCTCACTGTTTGCAACTTCTCCCCTAATTGTAGGGCGATATCCTTAGTCAAGGCTCCCAATTTGATTTTTGGTTGGCCACACGCGACCCTCTTATTCCTTCTCCTTTGAATTTCTAAGATCATAACCAAGAGCCTATGTTAGGTTACTATATTTTCGCTGGGGATAACCTTGCAATCTGAGCATAGACCTCTATCGCACCTTCTGAAGAGAAGATAATCAATGTGGCTCTTGACCACTATACTATGGAAGGGGACCAAATGCTCCTCCCTTTTGTGAAAACACGCGTTAGCTATAACTAAATCAAAAGCACTAGCAAAATCCAAAAGCAAAGTACCTCCTTCACTTCTATATCCAAAATTGAAGTCGCCATGCACTTCGTCGTAACCGCTAGCAGACGCCCCAATATGGCCATTAAAATCTACACCTATGAACAGCTTGTCGGAGTGTGGGACACCTCGCAAAACCTCATCCAAATCCTCCCATAAGTGTCTATTAGCCTCCTCGCCCAAGTCCGCACGAGGTATATAAGCACTAATAACATTAATATTCTGCCCTCCAACGAGTAGATTAATAGCCATCAATCTATCATCCACTCGTCTCACATTTATCACTAGCTCCCTGAGTTCCCTATCAAACAAAATACCTACCTCGTTCCTACCCTTTACACCTCTTGTACCATAGTTTAAACTCATCTGCATCCGAGCCTTTGTGCCCACCCATCTAGTCTCCTGGACAAAGGCTAAATTGATTTTCCTCTTCAGGAGAATCTTAGCTAACTCAATAGATTTTTCTATCAATGTCCCTATGCTCCAGGACCCAATTCTCAACCTAAGAGTACCCTTACCCCCTTCAGCCCTACTCGCCCCCTTCCTCCCCCCCCCCCCCCCCGAGAACATGAAGAAAAAGTAAAATT